TTTCCATTTTATGTAGGGAAAACAATCGACTAGCCAAGTATTTCTCAAACTGTGGGGCACGAGCTTATCAGAAAGTTGAAAATAAAAGATTATTTTTTTAAAAAATTTTTTTAATTTACTAAAAGCAAGCAAAAAAAATGTGTTCTGACATAATAAAAAAGAAAATACACATTTACATTGATATAATACACTTATAAAAGTATCGGTACTGCTCAATGTATTTCATAATTAATTAAACAGTACTAAGTTAAAAACAAGTTTAATAATTACCAGTGATCCTATGGGCATATCATAAAATTATTTACAAAATTTAACATTTATCTTGATAATTTGTATGGTTTATAATTAGAGTAGTATTGCAGCTTTACGTCAAAGTATATTATTATTGAATTCAATACATTATTATTATATGTAGGGCGGCGCGAGGAAAATTATGTTTGAAAATTGGGTCGCAAATATACAAAGTTTGAGAAGCACTGGACTAGCCAGAAAAGCAAAAGTTTAATAAGACAAAGAAGGAGAAAGGTTTACACTATAAAAGTGATGAATTTTAAATATCTGATATTAAGCATCATTTCAATAAATTAAGAATCAAAACTTTTATGAAGGTTGTATTTTTTGTCAAAATTATATGTTACTTAAAACCTGTTATCTCAAAAACTTATGAACGTATTTCTTTCATATTTCGAATACATGCTATTCAAATTATAAAGACAATGAAGTAAGGATTTAGCTCTAAAATCAATCGATTTTTTTTATCATTATTTTTTACAAACATCATAAGTTTTATAAAATTTTCTATAAAAAATTTACACACAATGAGTCATCAAACTTTTTGGTAAAGTTGAAAATGTTTTAGATTTAAATCACAGTGTCTTTATAACTAAGTTAGGTATGTTATGTAAAAAATATAGTTTAAATATATGGCTTTGAATTCCATGTAGAGTATTTTGGAATTCGGTATAATTTTCATCACATTTTATCTAAAATATCTCATTTTAATAAATTTAATTTGTCATATACATTTGTGATTTGTGTTTTTATATAATTAATTTATTTAATTTAAACCATAATCACCAACGATAACACAAATTTGCTAACAGCATGACATTTTAAAAAACTTGCCACCTAACGTAGGCAGTTACCCCAATTATTTACAAGAAAAGAAAATGACATCTGCTGGAATCCAGAAATATATATATATATATATATATATATATATTTAAAAAAAAGGAATTCCACCAGACATTTTACTGCAAAAACTGTTATTTGGTAGAACATATCAGGTTCGCAAAGAGAAATTTCTTGTTTTATTTATTCTATATTGTACTTTCATACTCGTCTGCAATACATGTGGCAAAATTCATCATGGATTAAAATTCTACGAAAGGTGCACACGATACATTTAATTAAACGAATGATTCCTACTTTAATTTGTTCATTAAAAAGAAATGACAGTATTCTATCTTTTAGAGTTCAATAGATATCGAAGAAAAAATGAAAATAAATTTTAGTAAGAGCTAATTAAACTACAGAAAACTCCACCAAAAATCAAAAGAATTCCAACTTTTCTGTCGTTTTTAAAACTGTCATACTTTCTTTCTTCCGTACTCAAATTAGATAAAAAAAAAACAAAAAAATCGAATCGAAAAGACTGTTTATTTCGTGTTGACACGGTATAATATATATATTTTTTAATCTAACCATATTTTGTATATATGTATTTTTTTACGATGTTTCCCAATATGAGTCAAGGAATTCACGAATAGAATATTCCAATTGCTCTGTGTCACTCTCTTAGGCCCTACAAAACTTATGTTTCGCTCTTTTAGATCCAGTGATTAAAAAGTAAGATTTTCAATTTTCTTAATTATTTTTATTATTAATACGTATATTCAAAAAATAATCGAAATTTGATTTAAATATTTAATATTTCGGCAATTTATAAAAATAAAAATACTAAACTTTTCCAGTGTGTCAAAACTTACGTAAATATTATGGATTTAAAAAAAAAATTCTGCTTTTCGTAGAATAGTCTTTTTTTTAGGATTTATTTAAGAAACTTCTTCTCTACATTTTCTGTTTGAAAATTACCTTTTTTTGTTTTTGATATGTGAAATTTGGAAGCGTTTAATTAAAAACAAAGCTTCCCCCTCCCCCAAAAAAACATTTATATATTGCATTTATTTTCCTTTTTACCACCAGAGTTGTCTCTTTTCTTCCTCCCTTTCTCTCTATAAATAGAACGGAGAGAAAAGAAACCCATTGGATAAGGGAAAAGTAGAAGAAATTTCGAAAAAAAAATTATGACATAAATATAGAAATCATCTGGAAGTGCTGACGTCGAGAGGGTAAGGGAATTTCATTGGGAAATAAAATGAGGTAAAATGTATACACTTTTAAAAGCCTGCGAAATATCTGGCTATGCAGCTAGTATTTTTATAATGGTCAACAGCATATTTTTATTTAAAGTCACAAAAAACCTTTCGGTTTATTGAATAATGAGGGAGGGAAACTTATATGTATACAATTATATTTTTTAAAAAGCGTATCTCAAATTCTATAGAAATTTCATTTTTTATCTGTAGAATTGAACAAAATAGATTTGTAATTATTATGCTATGAATAATAAAGATGATTCTTGTGCTTAGTTGGAAAAGGTTTCACATGATTAAAATTTTTTATTTATTTTCCGAGAAACTAGACGTATACGATTTGCAGCAAAAACATCTAAAGTTTTTAAGAAAAAGAATCCCAAAGAGTTTTTTTTTTAATTTAACTTTCTTCCAACTATGATAGATTAACATGTATTTTTCTGCGATCATCAATCATGATATAATTAATTAAGTTATTTTAAAAACTCGGTACATAATTTGAACAAAAAATTCGATAGAAATTAGTTTCCATAGAAGAGTTTTACAATAAAAAATCATTAAGTAATACATAAAGTACTAAGTAGTTTTTAAAATGTGTCAAAAACTACACGTTATTTAATTATGTCTTATAATGCATTTAGCCGGAATTTTGAAAATGTTTCATATTTGTTACATTTTAAAATGAAATCTTAAAAGGTTATTGAAGTGATTTTCAATAATCATCTTTATGTTTTAATCAACGATATAAATTGCATTTTTATCTGGATTAAAATTTAAAAATTCCTTATTGAAATATTTATAAGAAATTATGTGAATGCATATGAAATCTTAATATACGAGAATATAATTCATGAGATGAAATATTTAAAATTCTGAAATAATATCTTGTAATCTGAATATATTTTAAAGTGGTAAATTATTCAACAAACTGTGTAGATAAGCAGCTATTCTATTTCATTAAAATTATTATTAAAAAAGAAAGCGAATTTTTCATTAAGGTAAAAGCTTTAAATATATCAAGATTCTTCATTCCTATTTTAGCATGACTGGGCTCTTAAACTTTTATACAATATTGTAATCCTGATTAAAATATGAAATTTTAATATATTTGAACTAAATTTTTGAATCAAAAGGATTAAATTCTGTTTTACTGGAAAGTACCTCCAAGAGGAAACGCCGCAAATAAACAACGGATACGTCACGATTCATTTTTTTTTCGAAGCCTCTATTTCAACGTAATATTTGAAGATTTAATGAATGAAAGATACGATAAAAAAGATTTTTCATAAAAATATTTTATAATAATGAGATATAAAAGACTCAAATATGAAAACTACTAACTGAAATATTAAAAAAGAGATTTATTCGAGCATTACGAGATTTAATAAAAAAAAAGATTTTTTAATCAAAAATCTGAAAGAAATAAAAAGTTATTTATAAAATTGAATTCAGTTCGGCACTTTGGTATTCTAATCAGATTTCATTGTAAACTAAAATAATTAATAATTAATGAAATTAATAAAAACTATTTTTTTAAAAAAAAGTTTTTTAGCCTCTTCGATAGCCAGAACTATTTTTGAATAAAGTAGAAGGAAAAAGTAAGACACATAAAAAAAATATTTTTAAATCAATTCCTACTTAGATCAACGAAGAAAAATTTTATTTTAACTACTAAAAATAGTTACAATTAATATAAATATGTATATACATATGACAGAATCATAACATAAGTGGTAATTAATTTTTATTACTTATCATTAAAGTACCGCATTGTCATCCAAAACAATCGTGTGTATAAATTTTCAGTTCAACTGAATGCTTTAAAATGTGAGAAAAAAACCCTTTTCAAGTTTTGACACACAAGTCGACAAAAGGGTCGCTAAGTCGAAAAAAATTATACTAACGTGGCTGTATTTGTAATTCTTTAAATCATTAATTTTAATCAATTAATTTTTATTAATTATAATGAAATTATTGTATTGGCATCCAAAATGATCATGTATATAAAATTTCAGCTCAATTGAGCGCTTTAAAATGTATTTTATTAACGATTGAAAATTCCACCAAGGTAAATAAATAAATATATATAGAGAGAGAGTGTGAGTTAATAGTAGGAATTTATATATATAAAAATAGAAGCTATTGCACGAGGACACGAAATTAAATATTGACATTTAGTAAAATATTTCGTAAATTTGAGTCTCGGTCAAAAATAATGTCATTACGTCATTAAATTTATGATCGATTTTCTTAAATAAGTTCATTCAATTCCTACTATTAGTTCCCTCTCTTGCTATATATATATATATATATATATATATATATATATATATGCTTGTTCTCTACAAACAAAAGATAACATCCAACAATCACATTCGAAAGACACATAGACAGTAATAAAATCACACAATGAAGGACATATGAGTAACGGAGATTAAAAATTATAAAATGGATGAAGCAGCATTATAAACATTGCTGACATAGGACAGCTAATATATAAAATGATTTATATAAAAGTGGGGGTTGATCATGTTTTTTGGCCAGCCAACCTTCCCCCTCTATGTAAATCATACTGAGCAAAAACCTATTGAAAGTAATGGATATGAATATCTAAATCCATTACAAGAAGCGCAATGGATGGCGCGTTGGGTTGGACTTCTAATCCAAAGGACATGGGTTAAAATTCCACCTGAGATGGCCTAAATTTTGAAAATGGGATTTCTTTTTTACTGTTTTATTTTATTAGAATAATTAAATTTAATTAAAGAATAAATATTAACAAACAAAAATAATAGTCCAACAATATAGAAAGGAAAATGAATAATTGAAATGAAAATCGCTTTCTATTTTTTCACTTAATATTATGATTATGTCGTATTTTTACACATATTTATATTAATTTTAGCTATTTAATAAAATGTAACTAAAATAAAAATTTTTTTTTTG